AGTCTGACTTCTCTCCAGGACAGCCTTGTTCATCGCCTCATCCGAGTGCAACGGCATCTCCCAAGGGTACTCACCCACCACGAGATCCTTGAACCCCTCCCCCTGGGTCAGCACATCGTACGTCCAGCGCACACCCTCCCGCATCGCGAGAACATCCAGATCGTCGGCGAAGAAGTTGAGGTTGATGTTGGGCTGCACCAGGGGATCCGCGGAGTTGAGCGTGACCTCACCCCCCTCGGACACGGGTCGCAGCAGATCCACGATGACGGTCATATAGCTCCCCTCCTTGGGGACGGGGTAATGCCACTGGAAGGCGGAGCTGAACATCCCCACAAAGTCGAGCTCGAAGTGGGGCTGCCCCGCTGGACCGAAGGGGTCGCGGCCGCCATTGGCAGCCTTCGCGGCACGGTAGGCGGGGTACTGGTCCAGCCGGGCGTCGATGCGCGGGAAGCCGACCATCTCCAGCAGACCCGAGCTGACGGGTCCGGTGTGGTCGCGGCGGTAGGCCGACACGGCGGCGTCGTGGGCGGGGCCGGGCCGGAGCAGGTGGTCGTCCAACGTGAGGCCATCCTTCAGCTTGAGGACAAAGGGGACGATCGGGTGGTCCAGCAGGTGTTGGCCGACGTGCGGGGAGTCCAGGATCACATCGATGTTGTGTTTGGCGAGTTCCGACTGCGGGCCGACGCCGCTGAGCATGAGCAGTTTCGGGGTTTCGAACACCCCCTGCGAGAGGATGACCTCGCGAGTGGCGTGGAGGCGTAGGGTGGTGTTGGTCGAGGGGAGGACGACCTCGACGCCGGAGCAGACGCGGGTGGACGGGTCGATGAGCAACCGCTTGGAGTGCGCGCCGGACAAGATCGTCACGTTGGGCCGGTTGAGCAGATACACAAAGCTGCCCTGGCGCTGACCCTTGTAGATCGAGTCGACGCAGTGGGTGAGCCCGTGCATCTCGCCGGAGTAGATGTCCTCGGTCAGTGGTTCGCCCTTGGACACCCAGGCCTGGCTGAGGGCGTCGCGGAAGGGCTGCAGCTCGGGCACCAATTCGGCGTGGGAGATCTGCAGGGGCCCACTGGAACCGATCTGGTGCAGCTCAGCCGGGTACAGCTTCTCGTCATCGTGGTAGGTGGCGCATTTACGCAGGTACTCAACGCAGTTCGCCCAGGTCCAATCCCGGCCGCCGAAGGACTCCCAGTCGTCGAAGGTGGCCGCCGACCCGGGGATCCAGGTGAAGTAGTTGGCACACGAGCTGCCGCCCAGCGCCTTGCCGCGCGTGTTGGGCTTCTCCACGCGCTCGTAGTCCTCACGCTTGATCATGGTGCTTTTGTACGCCCAATCGTACTGGCTGCCCCGCAGCCCGAAGGCTTTGGACGGCGTCGTGATGTCTTCGATCTCGTGCGAGTTAGCGACACCGGCCTCGACCACGAGGACCTTGACGTCCGGGTTCTCGGCCAGCCGGCCCGCAATGCAGTTTCCTGCCGTACCACCACCCACGACGATAAAGTCGAACTGGGAGTTGTTGGCAACTGACATGATTATGGATTAGGGAGATATGGAAGTAACAAGGGTGATTCACTGAGATTGAAGATTGAGAGATGATTGTGATCTTGCTGCTGCTGAAGATGCTGATGCTGATGCTGATGATGCGACTCGAGCGGTGCCATCACTGCCTTATATCCTGTTTTCTTCATGGAGGACACGATGGGTCGGCTACCTTGGACAAAGAGTGTCTCGTATAGACCTGCAGTGAGGCCCGAGTTTGGCCCGTTGATTGTGCCGACATATCCGCGGTCATCCGGGTTGATGCAAGACAGACATAGGATTGACGTATGAGGGGTAAGCGAGGGATTTATGAGGCATTCGAGTATGCGGGTACAGGGGTTGGAGACGACCAAGCATGGTGTTGATGATTCTTGTTCTGCTCATATCCGGAAAAATACACCCGAGCTCGGCGAGACCGGCCAGAGATCGGAGTCTGTCGGCAGATGGTCATGTGATCTCACGAGTACCTGGCAATGCGCCGAACTTTGACCGATTGACCAATCAGAGGGCGCTGATTGTGCTGACGGGGCGCCCCCTCATGAGGGGCAGGCACGGTGAGGGGAAAAGTCGTAGAGAGCAATGATGTTACTAAATTTCCCCTCACTGACCCTCACTGACCCTCTAGATTCCCTGGCCAAACGTCAACATCCCCATCCACTTTTGGCACTAGGTGAGACCGTGCCTCCGAGAAAATTTCTGTCCCGAGATAAAGGCTTCACCGCTGCTGGAGCGCCACGTTTGCAATCGCTTGCAATCGCTTGCAATCCCTATCTTGCCGTTAGTCCAGAGATAAGCCTACCTGGCCGTAGCCGTATATAACTCCTACATCTCACGATCGCCCCCCGCGATCCATAATTTCCCCCCTTTCTCCCCTTTTCGCAAACTCAATCCTCATCCACACATACTCCACGCCATGTCCAAGCCTACTTTCACCCTCGCTGAGGGTATGTCTAGACCCTCTCCGATGGCCATTGTTGATCACTTCTCTGACCCATCCATCCAGGCCAACCTGTCACTGACCCTGCGGTCAGCACCACCCTGCCCACCTTCGGTGGCGGTGGCCTCACTACCCTGGGAGACACTCTGCTGATCGAGACCCTGACACATTTCAACCGGGAGAGAATTCCGGAGCGGTACGGATCCTTACCCCTGCACTGCCGATCCCCGATCTGCATGCAGCTCATGTGCATGGGACGCGAACTAATCGGCTCGCAGAGTCGTCCACGCCAAGGGCTCCGGCGCCTGGGGTGAATTCCGCGTCACCAAGGACATCTCCCACCTCACCAAGGCCAAGTTCCTGACGGGCGTGGGCAAGAAGACCAAGGTGCTGTTCCGCCACAGCACCACGGGCGGTGGTCTGGGCAGTGCCGACACCGCGCTCGACATCCACGGATTCGCCGTCAAGTTCTTCACCGAGGAGGGTAACCATGACATTGTTGGCAACCACGCCGTAAGCCCGTCTGCGCCTGCATCGCACCGAGTTCCGCTGAGCTGACACAACCACCGACAGCCCGTTTTCTGGGTGCGCGATCCCATCCGCTTCCCCGCGGTGAACCGCAGCCACAAGAAGCACCCCGCCACCAACCGCGGCGACCCCAACATGGTAAGCAGCCAGTACATCCGGAACAACATGTCGGCCAAGCAGCGCACTGACCCACGCGACAACTCTAGTTCTGGGACTTCCACGTCAACCAGCCCGAGAGTGTGCACGCCTTGATGCACCTGTTCGGCTCGCGCGGCCACCCCGAGTCGGCGCGCAAGATGACCGGGTTCGGCATCCACACTTTCAAGCTGGTGTCCGAGGACGGCAGCTTCCGCTACTGCAAGTTCCACTTCAAGCCCGTGCAGGGCATCAGCAACATCAGCTCCGACATGGCGACGAGGTTGGCGGGCACCAACCCGGACTCGTACAACCAGGATCTGTGGGAGGCGATCGCGCGCGGCGACCACCCGGTGTGGAAGCTGTACGTGCAGGTGATGGAGCCCGAGCGCGCCGAGACGTTCGGTCGGGCGTTGTTCGACATCACCAAGGTGTGGCCGCACAAGGACTTCCCCTTGATCGAGGTTGGCGAGATGACTCTCAACCGGAACGTGCGTTGCCCCTTTTGCCTGGTGCATCATTTCCGAGAAATAGCTGACCATTCGTGCACAGCCCGAGAACTTCTTCGCCGAGATCGAACAGGCGGCTTTCTCTCCCTCCAACCTGGTCCCCGGTGTGGCTGCCACTCCTGACCCGAGTATGTCCCTCTCCCCGTCCACTGGAAAAGTCAACACAACCCCTAACACAGTGTCTGTATAGTGCTCCAAGCCCGCATGTTCGCCTACCCCGACGCCCAGCGCTACCGCCTGGGTGTCAACTACCCGCAGCTCCCGCCCAACAAGCCCGTGTGCCCGGTGTACGCCCCCTACCTGCGCGACGGCGCCCACACCACCACGCACAACTACGGCGGCGACCCCAACTACGTGCGCAGCACGCTCACCCCCGGGGTGAGCAGCCCGTCGGCGCAGGAGGTGCGCCACCACGAGTTCCTGCGGATGGGCGGGGTGCTGGGGCTGAACGAGATCCCCGTGGACGATGAGGACTTCGTGCAGCCGCGCGCGCTGTGGCACAAGGTGTTCGACGAGCAGGAGCGCCGGCTGTTCGTGACGAACCTCTGCAACTCGCTGGAGGGGGTGGTGCCGGAGCTGCAGCAGGCGACGGTGGCCATGTTCAGCCGGGTGGATCCCCGGATCGGACAGATGATGGAGGCGAATCTCAAGGGGGGTGCGCGGTTGTAGGTCGTCGTCGGGGCCGACGGGGCCGACCGGGGTGGAGAGGGGAGTTTGTTTTCAAGCGATGCATCCTTGCCTGTGGATTTTTGCCCAAGTTAGACAAAGTTAGACGTGTCTTGGATTTAGACTAGACATAGACGGTCATAGACAATCATAGACAAATACAGTCAAAGACGTACAGGGTCTTTTTGATGAGTATGGAGTGTGTGTCAGTTGTGACTCGGTGAGGTGGAGAGAGAAAGTCGCGTCGAGGAGAACTGATAAGCCCACCACGACGTTATCGGGTGGATCACGTGCCTGCTCTCTTATGCCTGAAGCACGAATATGCGGTTGGCAGCCTCAGGCAGGAGCGCAGTGTCGATCCGCAATCCCACCACCAGATTGATTATGGCCACAAGACACACGCACAAAGATACAGCAGTGCATCGGAAGACATTCGGACTGTTGCGACAACTTTTTTTCACAATCATAGTATCTCCATTGACTTGGAACAGTATCCTCACCCCATTCACCCACTCACAACACGATGAGATCATCCCGTGACGTCATCCCGACTCCGCCCGTGTCCTCGCATCGCATGGCATCGCCAGGCCTCGCAGACACGCATCCCATAAAATCCACCCACCGACCTGCATCTCTCACCCTGACCCTCCAAAACCACTCAATCGCATATCCACCACCCAAACCAACAGCAACAACAACAACAACAACAACAACAACAAAATGCTCGACTCCATCCCCCTCACCCGCAGCCGCCGCAGCGACGAACTGACCCGGCTCGCGGACCAGCACCTGCAACACGACCTGTCGGCCTCCGACCGCGACGCCCTGCAATCCGCCGCCCGCACCGTCTCCCTCTGGACGACCGTCGGCTCCGCCGTGGGCGTGGGTCTGGGACTCTACACGGCTTTCCGGCTGCGGAGCTCGCGCCGCGCCTTCTTCGAGGTCTTCCGCGCGCAGCAGAAGCCAACGAAGGTGGTGTTTGCGGATGGGCGGACTGGTATGCACCCCCCCGTTCCAACATGATTGAAGCTCAGCTAACGCGAGGGTGCTCGACGCTAGAATCCATCCCCGATATCACCCCGCTGCTGAAACCCACCACGTTCGGCGACTTCGCGACGTATTTCTTTGCCTCGGCGGGCGGGTTGTTTCTGGGCGGGGAGTTGGGTATGTTTCCTCTGCATGTCATAACACCAGTAAGAAGAGAAGTATTGACAACGTGATAGGCTTTCTGAGTGGTGCCGCCGTCGGCAGCCGGGGGATCACCAACGAGCCCGAGCGCCGGAAGCGCATCGAGAATGCCTTCCGGCGGTTCCGGGCGGATGTGCTGAGGCGGGAGGCGGATGCTTTGGACGGCGATCGGAATATTATTGAGAAGATGTTTTAATTGTTGGGAGTGTTGGAAGGGGCGTTGTTTTTTGTTTCTGGGCATTTAAGGAGGTGTGGTTTTCTCTTTCTGGGCATTGAATGGGGAGATGGTTGTCTGCGTGCACATGCACCTCGATACCCGGTGTGTATTCTAGCGAATATTATTGAATCTTATCGGATAAGTGCATCTCATGCGGTGTAGCTGCAGGCCAAGTACTACACACGCGAACTGATGAGGATATTTTGCATCCCAGAAGTGAATATGTACACGGCCCATGAGCCCGCCAACCCAACTCTACACCCCAAATAAATATATTCAAAACACAGTCCCAACCCCAACCCCAACAGCCCAAACGCCCCCCCAATCACCCCGAGAAGAAAAGTCAACACCCCCCAGCCCACCGCCACACACCCCGACAACGTGTCTTCCACGTCCCGGAGAAATAATGCTTGACCAGCACCTCCGCCGAGCGATGGTCCTCGCCCTGCGTGATGGCGAACCCGCGCTTGGGCAGCACCACCACATCCCTGATGCGCAGCGTCTCCTGCAGATCTCGCAGGGTGTGCAACATCCCCTCATCGGCCCCGAGATACTCGAGCACGGCATCCGTCCAGACGCTCGGGCCCGTCCACTCCATCACGTCCGGCGGTTCCACCCGCGCGCGATCTTCTTGCCCTAAACGCCGGAGATACTCCTCCGTCCGGTCGACGATCTTCCCCAAGACCGCCCTGAAGATCGGATGGCCCGGCGCCGCGACCATCGTCCACTGCACGAACTGCGGCGACCGCGGCAGACCGCGCGTGGCGGCGTCGCCTTCCAACCCGATGATGGCGGCGGGGGGACCACTCTCCCTTAGTGTCCCGGGGGCATCTCCATCTCCAGGATGATCCCCCGATTCATCTCCGAACATCACCCCCCACGGCAACGGCTGCATCAGCCGCACGTCCAGATCATTGTACACGCCGCCCCGCGCGTACAGGATCAGATAGCGACAGAAGTCCGATTTCAGGACGGCGGAGGGCAGGGCGGCCAGCGCGGCGGCGTAGCGGCCGGACGACGGGTCGGTGGCGCGCGCGAGTTCGGCGCACGCCGCCTCGGTCCAGTACTCGATCTTCCAGCCGGATTGCTGCCAGGAGATGGTGTGCTGGGAGGGACGGAAGGCGGAGACGGGGTGGTTGGGCATGGAGAGGAGGAGGTGGTGGATTGTTTGGGGGATGAGGAGGTCGGTTGCTGCTGCGGTGGAGGGGATGGGCTGGCTTGTGTCTGGATCGGGGTGTGGCTGGGGGTTTGGGTGTGGGTGTGGGTGTTGATGGGGTGCGTTGGGCGGTGGTGTTGATGGTTGTAGGGTTGGTGTTGTATACCGCACCAGCGAGAGGATGAGACACAGCGCCACGATGGCCTGGACCAGCTGCAGTGATCGGAGAGGCATGGTTGTTGATTTCGTCGCCCTCTATTTTCATAGATGATGTTGGTACTCAGTTGCAGTCACCTCCCCTTATTGGTGGCCGACAATAACAATCGTCCATCCCGCGGAGTTGGAGTCGGTTTCGGTTTCGGTTTCCACCCAGCAACGTTGACCTTCAACCCAGCACAACACAGCACAGCACAACACAACACGCGCGCGCACGTACCTTCCCAGCTACGTCCAGCAGCGCAACATCCCACTTAAGTACCCCGTACTGCCGAAGAAACAGGACTGGTTCATTTTCTGGCTGCCAAGTGCCAACATCCCCCGCCCCACTCCCGAAAAGACTAAGGGCTAGGCGATGACGCCGATAGGGCTGGGCAGCTGGGCGCTGTCTCTTGGAGAGCTCTCGGCATTCCCTATCCTCGATCGACCCTCTGTCTGAGGACAGGGGGGCTGAGAGGGGGGAGGTTACATCGTGTGCTTAGTTACTTCCCCGTTTCCCTGAAACTAAAAACAGTAATGCTCAGATTTGAACCAAGAGCACGGCGCTAGAACCCTCCCCTCCCACAAGGAATTAACCCGGGGATCGGGAAGAGGCGTTCGTCAATCACCTCGAAAACCAACCAGGCTAAGCCACACTTGTACCTAGTCGGTTGAGGGAAAAAGCCTGCAAGAACTCCGACTGGTAGCTGGGAGCCCGCTTGGCGTTGGCGACACAGCCGATCATTCGTTGACAGTCCCCAAATGTGGGTCGGTGGTGATCAGGCAGAACAATTTGGGAGGAATTTTGCCCTAGAGAGATTAAGGTACCCGAGGCCGGGAGGGGCCGTGCGTTAGGTGGTGATCCGCGTGTGTCGGGGACTGGACTGGAGGGTTGGTTGGAGGGTTGGATGAGAGGGGGGAGAGGGTGTTGTTGTAGATGTAGATTGAGTAGGCAAGCTATGTGGAACGAGAGCTAGAGATTGTGCGGTGTGTTCTATCCTACTCTTCTACTCGTGTATCTCCAGCGGTAGACAGCCACTGCTCGAATTTGGAAGGCAGTCGCGTGATCATCTGAAGCATGGATGTAGACTCAATCATTATCGTGGTGGGACCTGCACAGCAGCATAAGGGTCTAGAATCTCGATTTGCGTATCGTAGTACCCCGAAAGTACAATCAGCTCTATTCTCCGACAACAATAGCACAATCACCAGGTCACAAAGTGACGGTCAAGATAAGCTATCTGCCCCTAGCCCGATCTGGTCACACAACAGATTAAGGTCCCCTCACGAGAACTACTGCACTGCTCAAAGTTAATGTTAGTGTTTGTCCTTAGTGTGCTGCTGTACTATTCCTCATCGATCCCTAACCTCGACCGCCCACTGCCTCCGCAGTCCACTCGACTAATCCATCCCTGGCATCTGCCCTATCCACACTACACCAGACAAACCTATTCCGGAGACTACCAAGCAAACTCTACGCTACTCCAAAAAATCACCGACTGACTCATGTACAGAACCCCTGCATAAACTATAAACTATATCTCACAAAAATGCCTGCTAGAAAACAAGTCGTAGAACCAACCCCAACACCGCAAAGAAAACCCAGACAGCCCAGCTAAATCCGGGACCAGCTAGCTATATATGTATATGTATAAGGATGCAATGCACGTATGTATAAATGAAAGGAAAGCTCGGTCGCTGCCGGCGGGGGCGTCCACTCGCCAGCTAGCCACTTCTCAGCTTGAAATGATTACGACTGAGCGTTGTTGGCACAAGTCCAGCTGGCCGAGGCAGTGCTGTCGTGGATGGATTTGCCGGAGACGTAGAGTCCGAGACCGCACTGCGATTGCGATAGTATTAGTAAGATGCCCTCGAATCCAAACCTAGAAGGGATGGAACTCACAATCGCGCACGCAATACCGAGGATGATTAGGTTGACGATAGTCAGGAAGATCTTCGAAGGGGTCGCGGTGTATTGGCCTTTGTTCATGATCATCCACATGAGAGCGGGGATACCATCTAATGGAATATTAGCATCGCATAGAGAAATGGAAGTCAGTGCGAGACACTTACAACTGAACCAACTGCCGAAGAGAGAGCACTAGACAATCGACGGGATTAGTAAGCGAACCGGGCACAAGGGAAACTCCCACACGTACAATCAAACTCAACAGGTCGTTGAAGACGGGGATGGACTCGGCAATCACCCAGGCGATCACCCACACACCCAAGGCGATACCAATCCACGATCCGACCACGGCGGGACTGTTCGTGTGCATCTGGGGAGACCCACGCCACACCCGCACGAAGATGTACTTGCAGGCGACGTGGCCGAAGATGACACCGGCGATGATGACCTAACAATGAAATCAGCACGCAGAATCGTGGCAACCACCCCCATGAACTGGACATACCGTAGGAATGGCAAGACCGTAGGCGACCTTGCTCATGAGCGGGCCGGCGGAAGACAAAGCCGGAGACTTGACGTCCGGTCCGGCGTAGCGGTAGATGACCATCGCGGTGATGATGTACATGGTCGTGTCGAGCACCTGCAGCATGGCCAGGGACTTGGGGAAGTCCCGCACATCCTCCATCTCGGACATGATACCAAAGAAAGCCACGTGGGCAACTATGAAGTGGTCAGCACCCATCCCCAACGAAACCCACAGAACCCGGGATGACGCTTACTGAAAGCGAAGATGATGTTGGTAACGGCCAAGAAAGCATTGACGAAGCTCGGGTGGGTGGTCACGTCGTTCTGGACGTGAGCCGGGGCTTCAACTCCAAGCGCAATCATGGTGACGACGGTAGCGACGATGATACTCAGGCAGGCTGTCGTAACCGATCAACAACATGCACCTGCGGGACTGACATGCGGGGACGCCTTACAAACGATGGACATGTAGTACACCTTGCCCATGGTGCGAGGCAGGGCGAAGATACAACTGATAACGAGACCGACCACGCCGAAGACGATGGTGCAGGTGCCGTGGCCGGTGATGGTGTTGAACAGCACCGTGAAGGTGAGCACATGACTGGACATCAGGAAGATGCAGAACAGCAGCTGGCCGAAGAACATGATCTCGCGTCCGATGCGACCCATGAGCAGCTCTCCGGCGTCTCCCATGCTGTGGACTTGGGGATAGCGCAGCTTGAACTGGCCCATCACATATCCGGTGTACCAGGAGATACCCGACATTCCCAGGATGATGAGAATGGAGCTGACCAGGAGATTAGTCTGACGGTACTGCCAAACATGTCTCTGTTGGATTGGGGTTAGATAGGCACTTACGGGACGATACCCAAGGTGGCGACCGCGGAGGGCAGCGACAGAATACCCAGCGAGATATTTTCGGCGATCATGACTAAGGAAGGGGCTTTGTTTAGATGGTGAATGCTGGCGGACGGGCACGGTGCCCTAAGAGACAACTAAACTCACGCATGCCGCAATTCCACCACTTCATCGTGCGGAACTTGACTTCGGCCATCTCTTCGTTGCCGAACGGGTCATCGGCCGGGGGGAACTCATTGGGGGCGACCTTCTCGATCTTTTCGTCTTCGTCGTGGTACTGCTGGTGGGCATCGAAGGCCTCAACATCTCTACCGTGGCTGGTCATAGTGACGGGGAGAGCAGAAAAGAATAAAAAGAAGTGCAAATGTGGCGATGGGGGGAAGAGGAGAGGAGAGTGTCGTGAGTTGAGTCGTAAAAGCGTAGTCAGTCAGTAACACAGTAGCAGCAAGAGAAGAATGATAGGGCGCAGCAACAACCAAGTCAACGGGCCAACTTTCAAGAAGAAGAAGAGGAGAGAAAAGAAAGCGACGGGGACTTCAAAGGTGGAGGGAGGATATAAGAAAAAGAAGAGCCCGGGCTGGCCGCAGTCGCTTCGTTGCATCCACGGCGGATCGGCAGATTTAGGCTTTTTCACACTTGGGGGAATCTGTGTGGGGGGGGTCCAACACTCTACCAGACTCCCACCCAAACCGGTAACAATCATCACTGTTACAGGTGGAGTCGTCCGGCCGAACCCAGAATTCCGTCCGCTGATAATGTCCGCTCGACAAGTCAATGTGTACGCAGTATCGTTTGCTTTACGTTTTATCAATGGTTTCAGGCGACTAACCCCCGGCCCCAGTGGTCCGGTACCTGATCTTGAATCCTGGCTGACAGCTCCTGCTCTCACCAGCTGGATCCATGACCTCAACCTGCATGGATCACCCTGATCAGCTGGGAGCCTGGGATGGAGAAGAGATAGTTATGCACGGGGCTGAAGGAATTCTCCCGAAGTTGCTCCCCAGCGACAGTTACTGCGCATTACGCACCCCGTATAGATTAATCATTAATCAATGGCAGCTGCTGCCACAGCCCTAGATGGCCCAAGCGTGGCTACCTCGCTTAGTGAGGTTTGCTCGCATTTGCCCATGGCTACATCCGTCCTCCGGAAACATACAAGCCTTATAGAAATTTCCATGGGAGGACGGGGCTGACCCTCAGTGTTATCAATCACGAGGGGATGGGATAATGGTGTTGGGTAATGAGAATGGGGGAGAGACTACAACTGAGTCAGGGCCAGGTAGGGACGTGCATCCGAGTCAAGACGGTAAGAATAATGCAGCAGGAATAAGATGGAGATACAGAGATTCATCTTATCAAGCATGCACATGCACATGTACTGCCACTACTCGTCTACCTAGCATGCAATGGGCGGCAAAAAAAAGAACCTTCATCCTTCATCCTTCATCCATCCAGGGCAAAATCTGCGCCTCCCGGCGGGACTAGTCCTGATCCGGGTCATCACTAAACCTGAAACCGTAAGGCCCGGCTGGCTCTAGTCTGCATGCGGCATGGATTCCACGGCGCAGGTGCTGACTCAGCCTTCCATCTGAACGATTTTTATGCCTGCACCACCTGGCACCACCTGGCTGGCATGTCGCCTGCCTTTCCTATTCCAGACGAACGCTTGGGAAATGTCTCCACGGTCTGTGTTACACCTGCAGCAGAAGATGCGGAGAAAGTTTGCCCCGGCCAAGCGAAGAAGAATCGATTGCTCATGGAAATTGCCATGTCGGGCCAGTGGAATGGCTGAGCCAGAGCCCAAGACGTCTCCACGTGCAGCGACAACCTAGCCAAGCCAAGGGCATTATTAGGGTTGGGTCATGGAACTCTTGGATCTGGGGAAATGAGGAAACCCAGCCAACGGCAGTAAATCGCACCCAATAATCCAATAGCACTGGCGAGCTCACCGGTGGCCGGACCTGTTCAATGCCCGGTGAACGCCGCCTCAACGCCGCCACTCCATTCTAGAAGGCGACTAGTCTGGTGAATCAACCGCTTGGCTAGCTAAAAACCGCCATTACCTTTTTTTTCGGGGCCCGCCTACTAGTCTAATCACTTCCCTTCTCAAGTGGTGATATCATGGGTAAATAATCCGTAGACAGCCCCCCGATCAAGAAAACCACACAAAATCAAGAAACCATGCGTCCTTTTCCCCCGGAAATCCGCTCTACCCCAAATTGAGGGGAAGACAACAGTTCGATCTGGGGAATCAGAGGGCTTCTCGTGGTGTTGCCCCGGAGGAGACCTAGGATAGTTCAGAATCTCAGACAGCTAAAGCCAACCGGGTCGGTGATTGCCTCCCCAAAGAGGCAGTGTGGACAGGCGATGAAGTAACAGCAATCCCATCCATTCGTTCTGTTCTGCTTCATACCGGCTCCCGGCCCGGCTCCGGTTGACCATTTGCGCCCTTCACCGCCCGGTGCCTCGGGCCCCGATCTGCCGCCTAGTAACCACTATACTAGGTCAGTATAGTATATACTACCCAACACACTGTATACAGTGAATACCGGAGATAACCAGGGCTGATCACAGCGGAATTCCTCACCCATCCTGTCTGCGTTATGCACAACTTTGAAATGCCGATACCCGGACGTACCAATCTGCCTCGCTACCGAGATACGAACCTTGCAGCCTAGGGTACATACCTGCAATACGGCATGTTATCCTCTTTCTCGCCGAGCATCCGGAGTAAACACATAGGAACATCCGTACCAGGTCTCAAACCCTCCCACGTCGCGGGTCTTCGTTGCAGCGGGGAGAAACCTACCCCCTGCTGCCTCTTCTTATTCGTCAGGACCCAGCGAGGAGAGATTCCGTATCTCTGCCCTTTTCGCCTCCCCTTCTCCACGGCCCAGGGGATCCACCACTACTTTACTGACGGCGGCAGCGTTGGCCGCTGATAACACTGGAACCGACGAGTCGTAGCCAACTGTCGGTTCCATTTGGAATGCCATTATAAATCCGATTTCGGACTAAAACCCAATCTCGCGTAAGCGTTGTCTGGGGGGAGGGTGGGTTTGTAAAGATGCCGTGGCGTTCCGGCAGTAAACTTGCTCGGTAGCATCTGCGATTTCTGGAGAATGTACCCCAGTCTACAGCATCAGCTTGGCGTCATTGTCTATGGGGTGGCGGGGGTTAGTCGGAGGCAAATCCGCTTATGATCAACATGACTGAGGACAGGTAGAGAGTAGACTAGACGATGGGGCATCAACGGAGTCTCCAGCGTCAGCGTCAGCAGGTTGCGGAGAAAGTGGGTGGGCGATGGTGGTTTCGCGAAGGATCTTGTGGTGTCCATCCGTGTTTCTCAGTCAGATAGCTCTGGAAGGAGATACAAGATGCTGACGAACCCCATTACTTGCGTACTGATTGTTGCTGACCGCTCTTCGTGATCCCAGAAGAAGATTCTGGAGCGTCTGGCGGTTCCAGTTCGGTAGTCAACGGGCATGTGACTACGTTGCCCGCTCAGCAGCAGCTGTGGGATTGTATGAGACTACCCGTCTGCCGTCTACCTGAATGCTGCCTGAAAGCACGAGTACATTCTGCTGATCATTTCGACCTTTTCCACGTAGTGCTGGGTATGCACAGGACATCACCCGTGGAGATCTGCACAGATGCATACAGCCACCGAGCAAAGCTTTAACGATCTGCATAACAAAGCAGATTACAATCGCCTTCATCAGCTCTTACACATACTCATGATAACCTTCGCCATCTGGAAGTTGTGGCAAAAGCATAAGGTACAAGACCCAAAGCCCAATCAGCAGCGCCCTGATGATCGAATTATACGGCAGGGGTCCCTGCTATAGCAGATCACCGGCTATCCCTACCCGGCGGCGAAGATTTGTGAGTCAGCCTGGGTAAAACTGTTTGTAAACACTGCGATAAAGGGTCTTCGGCAGATACCTTGGTATCTGGTTTTGGTATACTTCTGGGTTGTTCTGCGATTGTAAACCGGCAGGACCTTCCAGACTTAATGCTCAAGGTGCAAAGTTGGGCTACGACACATGCTCGGAGCTTGATCAAAGTCCCTCTGTTCCCGGTGCATGCTGTAGATACGTAGAAGCTTTGTATGGCATCCTACGATGAGGTCTCTACTCGAGGTACTTCACTAATCGACACGCAGGGCTGGTAATACACTTCGGAGAGCACAGGAGAAATAGCATACCGTCATGCCAGAATGGAAACCCTGAACAACCTCTACAGTAAGGCTTGAATCGAAACTGCTACAGTGCATGGAATTCCCAGGAAAGAGTCATGCTCTGAGCTGTGAAAGGAGAAAGCATGCTTCGTACGATCTGGGGCTATCCATATGTACAGCACAGCATTTGGAAGGAGTGATTGCACGCAGCGGGTTGCAGTACCCATGCATCTTCGGGCATTCTCGAGGTGAGAGATATGCAGACCGAAGTTCGTCGAGGCAGCGGAGTGGTCGCGAGACTGGAGCAGAAGTTGAGAGCAACCAGTGTTGTCATACAAGCAAGGCCATGAATAAGGGCAATCTAGAGGACTTGCCGCATTGAAGATGACAAGCTATACAAGATAGAGTGACTTATCTATCAAGCACATACAACCACAGGGTGTAGAAGACAGGGCTTCCCGTCCGCTCAGCCGTACTTAAGCCATACATTAAACGCGGCTGAGTAGGATATAAGCCCTTTCTTAATTACTGCTTTATAGATAAGCAACGCTAAAACAATAAGTAAATACAGATAATTTAAATAATACTATTCAGAAAATAGATAAGCAGGGTAAATAAAATAAGCAAATAGATAAGTAATTAAATAACCAAGTATACTAGCCACATAATTAAAAAGATTTTTAAAATTATATAAAATATATATATAATCTAATAAAATATTTTTTTCTGTTCGATATATTTATAGTCAGTAAACAATTTAAAAAGTAATATTATATCAAAAACTAATATATTATATAATATTAAATCAGGCCTCTTTGAGAAGAAGTAAAAACAGAAAAAATTAAAAAACTCTAAAATGTTCATAAATTATATAATTTTACTATAGTATACAAATAAATTATAAAATAAAAAAAATAAGATATATTATAAGAAAAAGCTTCGGCTACTATTAAAAAAATATAATAAAACTACTAAAAATAAAAAATATAAATAATAAAAATATTGTTTTATTGTATACATATATATTAGTAATTTTAAACTAGATAAACAATAACTTAAAATAAATCTAAAAATAAAAATTTTTTTAAAATAAAATTAGATTTTTCTAGCCAGATCTCAAAACTCTTTTCTAAAAGTTTTATTTATTTATATAAAGAAGATCTGCTTTTAATAAAATATAGATTAAAACTTATTCTATTTTATTATTAAATAAAACAAAAATCTTAAGAACTATTCCGATGAATATTAAAAATAATATTCATAATATATATTCTAAATATCTTAATCTTTTTTTAATTATAATACTTACTAATTATATTTAAAGTATATTTATATGAAATTATTACTAAAATATAAACTTAAAATAAAATATCAGAAGAAGTTTTATATTGTAGTAATAAATCTTAATCTTTTTTGATAGTTATTTTAAAATAATAATTATAATTATATTTATAAAAAAGTTTAATTTTAAAATGTTTTTATTTTATCATTTTTTAGACCTTAAAGCTAGAACCGGGGGTTATTATTAAATGAAGTTTATATAAAAATATAAATAAAATTATACTAACTATTAAACTATTATAACTAGTATTATTAGTTATTATATCTAATAACTAATAGAATAGATTATATTTATATAAAACTTATAAAATAATTATAACTAGATTCTTATTAGTATAAGATCTAAATATTAGTTAGAAGCTTAGTAAAACTTTATAATAATTTATATTTTTTAAATTAAAACTAATCTAATAGTTTACTATAATTAATATTTTTTTAATATCTAAAAACTTTAATAACAGCTATATATATATATTTTTTAATAATTCTAAAAGATATTTTTTGTCAGCGCAGCTGAGTAATCCGGCCACGTGACGCAATGTGTTGCTAAGTTGCTTCCTATGTTGATACGTTAGTTCCAACTATTAAGAAAATTAAGAATATATTTTATATATTTTATTTCTGAGACTTAAAATTGCTGATAGATTATGAGTCCGGAGTCTCTTTGAGGTTCTGGAACACGCATTATTTATTTTTTTATTTATTAAACTTAAAGCTTTTTATAATTGCTAAGTTCTTTTATTAATAAAATATATTATTGCTACTGCTAAGATGTCCGAAATCGCCAAGCCTCCGTATATTCTTACCGGCTCGCAGAATTGGTATTTTTAAAATCTTCGTATCGAAGCTTAACTTCGTGTTTATTTAGCCTGGAATATTCTTACTAATAAGACTGCTGACAAAAATAATAAAGATACAACAGAGAAGACTAAAAAAAAATAAAAAATTATAATTAATTTAATTTTAAACTCGCTGTCCGATTTAATTCTTAAATCTCTATCTTGTTATACCGATATTAAAGCTCTTTAGCAGTTTTTTAAGAAGAAGTACAATAGTTTTAATAAGACTTAGTCTTTTTAAGGCCTTCAAACCGTAATAAAAACTTTTTCAAGTAATTATCTTAATATTGAAGACTATATCGCCAAAGTTAAGAACAGTATTTGCTTAATCAAGTCTTGTTTTTTCTTCGAGAAGAAAGAACAGTTTTCGGAATAGTTTTTATATAATCTTTTACTTGTAAATCTTAATAATCCATACTAGGAGATTTTTGTTACTATTTATTTTAACAAGTCTAAAAAATCAAGTTTTAAAGACCTCGCCGCCCAGATAATTAAACACGAAAAATAGATGTAATATTAAGACTTTTTATCGAATATTATTAGGATTAAGAAGAGTAAGCAGTTAGCTAAAGCTTTATATAAAAAATATTATAAAGAATATAAGGCTTAAATCTATGACTACTATAGAAAAAATAGTTATAAGAAGAAGGCCTGTTAGCAGCTATACCCGGAGTTAAAGCTAAAAAGATTTAAGAGTTATACTAATTATATTAATATTAATGTTATTTTTGAAGAAGAAACGCATACTGTTTTTTAATATTACTTAGTATTAGAATTACTATATAAGATTATATAAGAACTGGATTGCTGTAAAACTGCAAAACCGTTCGGGACCCATAAATAAAAACTACTAAAAGTAAGAAGAACCGTTATAAGCGAGAGATTACTATTAAGAAAAGAATAAAAAATATTATATATTTTAGTTGATTTTTGTTTTATATAGCTGCTTTGGCTTTACGTACGGCGCGGATTAAAAGGGTGTGTTAGTACAGCTGAATAATCCGGCCACGTGATATAACATATTATTAAGTTGCTTTTTATATTGATACATTAGTTCTAACTACTAAGAGAATTAAAAACACATTCTATACACCTCACCCCTGAGACTTAAAATTGCCGATATTTTTTAATCTGTTTTTAATTAGAAGGACTTAATTTTTAGTAGAAAAATAAAATTATAAAATTAATTAATTATTTAAATTAGTTATACTTAATAGTTCGGAATAATAAATAATAAATAATTATAAAGTATAAAATTTAATTTTAAAAATTCTATTTATTATAGGCTGTAGAGGCCTAGAAAAAATAATAATTAAAAAAAATTTATATTAAAAAAATAAATAAATATTTATAATAATTTCTTATTTAATATCTAACTAATTATTTACTTAAATACTACTAATAATATTTTTTTTATAACTCTTGCGAAGATAATAGCTTATAAAATTAGTTTTTAAATTTTTAATTTTTAAGTATTATAGAATATGAAAACAGATAATATAGTAGATATAAAAAATTCTATTAGAAAATAATATATTTTTCTAAAAGCTGTTTTATATTATTAAGATCTTTTCTTAATTAAAGTAAAATAGCAGTTTTTAAGCTTATATATAAATTTTAAAAAAGATTATTTTTTATTATTAATTTTGAAAAATAGAGTATTTTTTTTATAAATTAAATATAAAATAATCTTCTGA